TCCTTCGGTGTTTGTTGGGGTTTGGTTTTGGTAATGCAGGAGAACCTGCAGTTTAAGTCGCTGATGAGCCGAGCTGGCCCCGGCACGGACCTCCCCGTCCCCCGGCCCGGCCCTCCCTGCCGAGCCGGCCGCCTTCTCGCAACCCCTGAAGCTTCACCCTGCCCTGGCCCCGGTGTTTACCTGAAACGCTTGCAGATGGCACAGGTCCCGAGGGCAAAGGGAGCATCCGACTGCCGCTTGCATTAGCAGCGAGCCGGTTATTCGGTTTATATGCCTACCCGCGTGTGGAGAGGTCTCTGCAATAACATTGAGGGGGAGCAGGGTCTCAGGTGCCGAAATCCCCTCGTCCTGACCCAAACCCGCAGGAAAGGTGTACAGAGAGGGCTGTCCTCCCGTGTCCAGGGCGCGGTGGGTGCGGCTGTAGGCCAAAGTGCCGACAAAGCAACTTTTCCCCCCTTTCCGGGTGCCTCTGCAAGCCGGAATCCGGGGCTGGTCCTCCCGCGGCCGCCGGGACACGGGCTGGCCGGGAATCTCGGCCCTGGGGCAGAGCTGCTGCCGGAGCGGCACGGCTGGGAATGGCACGGCATGGCTCAGCAGGCGTGGCACGGTATGGCCCCGAGACAACAAAGCCGTGCTCTGGGGAAACTCTGCCGCAGGAAAATGAGTAACTGTACAATTAACCTGTCGGCTTTCCTTCCAGGGATTTTTATTCCTGGGGTGTAATCGGGGATGGGGAGGGGGGGAAGGGAGGAACGGGGCTGGAGAAAAAACCCCAAAAAGAATCGCCCCATGGATTAGTCATTTGAACTGGACAGTTCAAGGGAAACAAGAGGCCAGGGGCATGAATGCCAACTAAACAAAGTTTAACCACTCCTCCTTCTCCCCATGCGCAAAATGGAAACCTTATTATATGATTCACTGTGAATCACTAGATTGAATGCGATCATTATGAGTAAATGATAGTCGGGGCTCCGCTGGTCTTTTCTTTCCTAGAGGCAAAACTATAAAATATGAAGGATATAAATGATCCTCTCTCCGCTCTCTCATGAAGGACGTTCATTCAAAGCCGCACTCTGTCTCTCTCCCAATTCCTTTGGTCCCCTTGAATTCCACAACGATCAAGGTAGATTATAGCGAGTCCTGGTTTATTTGTCTTCACGTGCTTGTTTATTGGCGAAATGTCACGAAATGTAATTTGTCTCAAGTTCTTTAACATGAGAAAATACTTTGTGGTTGCAGCAATCCACGCTGGTACCGCCAAGGCGATCTCCGATGCTCAGAGCAAGTTCATTATAATGCTATTTTGCAGCGTTTCGATGTTTAGTCCTCATTTCTCATGAGTCTTTTACATATCGTTGCATAAGAAAAGGATTTCGCCAGCTCCAGTTATGAGATTTCCTAGATTTTTTACAGGCGGAGCCGGTTTACAAAAGCTGTATTGTTTGACTGCGGTCTGGGTTTCCATTTGGGGTAATTATTGTATTCCCAGTCTTCTTCTAATCATTTGCTTACAAGGACACAGTTTTGTGTTGTGTTGTTTTTTTTTCCTCGCCTTTTGAAGAAGATGAAATACTCCAAACTTGCAAGACCATTGGAATAACCCCCCCACACACACTTCTTTGCCTATTGTGTAAGAGCTATTCCTTACGTCTCTCTAAATTGCTGGAAAACATGTGATGGAAAGGACGGTGAGAAAACATATAGAGCAGAAGAAATGCTTGTCACCACATTTTGAGAAAGCTCTGCAAACTGCAAAAATCCCGATCTAAGTCTGTTCCCAATAGAGAGGTCTGTGCAAACTGAAGGAGAGGGAGGGGTACCAAACACAAAACAAACCCACTTTTCATAAGGAAATGTGTTTCAGCTAGATGATAATCAGCTCCTGGGGGGGGAGGGGGGGGCGGGGAGGAAGTTCATAGAAGGAAAAATCAAGGGAGGGCAAACGTCTATGTGCGGCAGGGCTGTGTCTGTGCAGAGGGGCTTCTGCTCCAGCTGCTGCCTCCAGCTGCACAGCTGGAGGAGGGCTGGGAGCTGTGGCCCCACCGGCAGACAGCAGCTCAACCTGCAGGCACTGGAGTTGAACTTGACAGATTTTCTCTTCCCAGCACCCCTTTTAGGACCTTCCTGCTGGTGTCCCACAGCTTCTCAAGGCAAGACTCCCTTTCATTTGCCTCCAAAAATATCCCCCTAAACTCCCAAGGAATAGGATTGGGGCAAACGGTTTTCTTCCTTGGCTAAGATAATTTGAAAGTGATTGCCTTAAACAAAAACCTACCAGTTAGGAAAACATAAATTCACGCATATACATATAAAATGTTTTTAATTTCCCTGTGCAAAGGAAAGTGCAGTTGAACAGCGGAGTAACTGGTGTCAGGTATCTTCCAGACTCTGCCTATGGAAAACAAAACATCACAGTCCTGCAATTATCAAAGCCATACACAAGTATTTGAAACTGTCCTGATGATATGTAACCTCCTGCTTAGGAACTCCAGCACCTTATTATTTTGACGATGTGATCTCACCACACCCTTTTGCTGAGTGGCAGCCGATGGCTAGATATGATACTGGGAGTTACATCATTCTAATAGATCAATGTAACCAAACAATTTCACTGGCAGAGGACGCTGGAAAAAAATCCCAAATATTTTGTAGGGGAACTGAATTTGTCTTTCAGAAAGCTTACGTTCTTCTCAGACTTTCCATCAACCACAAGCATAGACATAATCTAAAATGTTCCTGGCTTGCCTGCTGCTGGGCTGATTAGCTTTTGGAACAGAAGAGATAACATTTCTAGACATTGGCCTGCTTTGCACTGCCTTCATGTTATTCCCTGCATATGTGGGTTTGACATTATTTATGTAGCAAGTGTGCACTCTCTTGTTGGTGTTGGGTCACTTCGCTTTTCAACAGCTGGGTTTTTTTCTGTCACTCAAAAGCAGGACTTACTTCAGCCTTTCAAACATTATCAGAACATCTCCTTGCAATCCATGGCTTGAAGGTACGACACCCTCCAAGCGGCTGAGCATCCCTCTCAGGGTGAGCCCAGACTGGCCCGCTAAGGACCAGGGCTGGCCCACATACCCCCTCCCACATCAGCAGGGAGGAGCATCCTGTGGAGTGGGATGCAGTCATGCCATCATGTCTGAACTCTATTCATTTGGGGTGGCACCAAATTCAGCCTGTCCCCTGCTGTTAACAGTCCTATTACACATGGAATGGATTTGAGTAAATTTCATTTTTACTTCTGAGAAACCTAAAGGATAGAAACAAAGTACTCTTACATCTTCCTTTTTCTATAAAATCATGGGAGAGATAACGAGCTAATGTTGCCATATTAATAACACAGAGACACACAGAGGAGGCTCTGACAGCAGGCAGAGCAGGATTGCACTCAGCACATGGAGTTATCTTCCTTAGGGTTGCTGGTGGCACTTTGCAAGTAATTTCATCTCTTTTACACTGAAGTTTCCTGTGAGAGTCCACCCTTCACTAGTTTACTCGTGCAGCTGGCAGTAGGTGACATTTGTGCATGCAAACAGAGATTTTGCCTCCTGGCTCCCACACTGTGGCTGCTGGGGATGGGATGTGAGAGCAAATTGTCACCTGCCTGACCCAGCAGTAGCTGTTTATGGTGAAAAATCATGTGCAGCAGCCTCGCTCCCTCACTTCCCAACACAAGTAACTAAATACTGGTGATGTATAAAAGCCAGGACAGAAAAAGAAATGCCACAGGAGTGTACATGGAGCTGACAAGGGAGGGGAGCAGCACGTTCACTGTCAGTGACAGGGAACACCTCTGTTCCAGCTGAGATTTTGAAAAATAAAGTGAGAGGCAGAAGAAGAAGAAGAAAAAAAGGAGAAAGGAGTACGACGAGCATCTTGGAAAGTCACTGGAAACTTTGTTCTTAGGACTAAAACTGGCTTCTTGTGATCCCCTTTCAGCAGGGCTGGCTGTGAGCCAGCTGGGTCCCCTGGAGCCCCCCTGGCCTTTTTGTCTGGAGCCTGGGAATCTGTCTGGAGCACAAGGCTGGGGGGACCATACTTGGGTTTGCAGGAGGGATTGGTTTAGGCAGTGGCCATTTAGAGGAAAGGGGCTTTGCAGTCCTCAGGTCTTCAGGAGACCTTTCTGGGTCACAACCAGGATAGCTGGGGAGCTTTCTCCTGCCTTGTGGGCAGCTGGAGGGAGGCTGAGGGGGAGGTGAGGGGACAAGGAAGCAGGGGGAAAGGCAGGCTGAGTGTCCTCATGTCCAAGATGCAAATGGGGTAGGAAGGAGGAATGGAGGAATAGAGGGGATTGAACAATGTCTGCCTCACCAGGTGTCCCAGGCTTTCTCACCCTGCCCAGGGTATTGTTGCAAAGGGAAATGCCAAATAAGATTAAAAGCTACGAATAAAAGCAAACCAAAAGTCTTCAGTGAAGCCACAGTGTGTTACATCTCTGCTGCCCCTCTAGCCCTGCCTTCCTGCAGACCTCTTTAGGGTGATGAAAGTGTAGGCTCTTAAAGCTCCCTGTCAGATTCAAGGATGTTAATTGGCATCTTTCCAATACTTATGGATTTTCACAAGTGATTTTGTTTTCATACTCTTTTTTATTCAGTTATCCTGGTACATTATTCTGCTCTTTTTGTGTATTTCCCTGCCGCCCCCCACTGTGACCTTTAGGGATAAAATTCAACTTATTTAGCTTCTTCACAGACAAAATCTAAAGCCTGCCTTAATTTGTAGTTTACTAGCCCTCTGATGTGAGACTACATACCGAGCCCCTATCTGATCAAACTGCCGGCACCCTAACACAGCCCAATTATGTGAAAATATATCCTTGCTTATCGTTTCAAACATCGTATAAGCAGAGAAACTGAAGTCGCTCCCTGTCTGTTTGATTTTCCTGTTCAGACACACTTGTTTAAACAGGCACTGCGAGACTTTTCTGTAATCTTACTTGGAGGAGTTCAAAAAGTGTTTTTGCCTTGGAAGCCCCAGGCAAGGTGGTGGTGGCCACC